ACATGCGTTAACGCGTAGGCCGCTTTTTACGCTGCATAATCTGGATCAATAATAAGTTTATAAATAGCAGTTCAATTTTAGACGTTAGCATGAATGCTAATTTAAAGTCTCTGGAAGCCAATGACTGTGGATTTGAGTTTGTAGAATGAGAATGGAAAAAAATACTTTCACACTCAAACTGGTCCACTGGTCCCCACACAGTTCCTATTAAGATACAAAGCAAAACGTGCTCTTTTACAAACCCATAAATTTAATAAAAGTTTTAAATTTTGTTAAATGTTTCATGCAAACATTTGTTCAAATTTTACTTCTCTACAAATATTTATTTATAAATAGCTAAAAACTATTGAATATTTTCACAGTTACAGAATCAAACTGAATTTACTGAAATAAGAAAAGGTTCTCATCGACGAAAGTAGATTCCGCTGGATGTTCACAGAACATCACGCCACACACACAAACACAGGCAGGCAGGTCATGAACATACTACACAGGTATGCGTACATCCTACTTTTATTTGATGCAACGAGCACAAAATGTTTGCATTACTTCTGCAGAAGAAGGATTTTTTAATTTAACGTAATTTAACGTAAATAATGTTTCACCGATTGCTGACTGAACGATCAGTAAGCAAATGAACACCTTTCTCTTAATCTGTATCACTAGATGGAGGTTACTCTTACGTTACTTCTACAACGTTTAGCTTCATATCATTAATCCACTGACTGAGCTGTCAGCTATTTCTTCCGATTAAATAAATGCGTTGGAATAAGAAACTAGATGTATGTGAATAGATGTATAAAATTGAACAATTCATTTAAAAAATTAAGTTAAAAATAAAAAGTCTTCAGACAGATTTGTAGAACGCAGTGTAATTGACTATATGAACAAATGTTTACAAGGAAGAGAATAGAAGAGGATAAATGACATTACAAAATAATATACCGGGGTGAAATTATTGAATCAGGAAAAATTTAGTAAAGAAATTTTTAAGAATCTACAAAAATTTGACGTCAGTGTTAATTGATTTTTTGTTAATTATGTAAACAGTTATGCCTACCCTGCGTTATATTATATGCTAATCAAGAATGTTGTTACATAACCTTGCAATTTGTTGTTTCCCTTGTTATATGCCTGTAATAAGCTTGTTAAGTGTATGTGGTTGTTGTTGTAGCTGCTGCGGTCATCTTTGTTTTAGCTATCAATTTTACTAATGCCAACATTTTATTCTGAGCACGTTCAACCCGATTAAATAATATTTATAATCTAAATTGTTCCTCAACCAGCCAACAATGAAATTCAATGCAGTGGCATTCCAGCTTTCCAGGAAATAAATCGCCAATTGTATAATTTACAGAGCCGGAGTGAGAGGAAATGCAATGAAGTGGAAAATTGGCAACCAATTGGAATAACGAAGACCTAAATAAGAACATTCTCTTTCTAAAACATCAGTTTAAGGTAGCACGGAGTTTTGTTATTAATTTCATTTGTTACTTCACGTTGGTGTAAATGTTGTAACATCTTAAATAACATTCAAACAGAAGTTTCCCTCCTCATACATTACTGAAACATCTTTTGTGACAACCCCAGCATTCTGGAGCCATCAGGACATCATGTTCATTGTTATATTTCTTTCATCCACTGCTTATTATGTCAGCGGATATATTTGATGGTGGCATTTTTTAGCGTATGACAATGTATACATTTGTATGCCATTAGCTTTCAACGTTTTGCAATAAAGGAAAGAATTTTAATATAGCCATACAGTCAATAATTCAACATAAACAACCAGTGCAGTATGTGCAAATGTGTGTGTGTGTGTGTGTGTGTGTGTGCGGCTTTGTTTTGACAAGTGTTTGTAGTAAAATAATTAAAAGTCAGTTAGTTATTATACAGAAAAATGACAAATAATTCAAAAAGTTGTTGAAAAATGACAAATGATTCACGACAAAAGTTGCCTCCTTCCACAAAAAAGACTTTTTTTCAATTGTTATTATTATTATTATTATTATTGTTGTTGTTGATATTATAAAAAAATATTAATAACAATAATTTATATTTGATTTAATAATGTTAACTCTTATTAACGTTCATAAAAACTGGAGTAGTTACAGTAGCCTGGTAATCATGATTAAAAACATTTCAAACGAATTGAAATGTAAAGCTATGGCAAAAATTTTTTCAGATCAACAAACAAATTGAAATTGAAAAAAAAAACAAAAAATATAATAGATCAATGTCTGAAAAATATATGGAAAACCATTCAAGGATTAAAAAAATAATACGAAGAAATTCCTATTGAAAAAGGATCAATGAATGATCGACAGAAGAATGAATGGATGCAAGGAAAAAACTTAATACAGAGCGTGGATGAATAAGCATTGTTAAAAAATTGAAAATAAAAGTATTTTAAATTGTTGTATCATAAGTGGATAAAAAGAGATTTATAAAATTGTGTTTACTGTTTTTCAAATGAAAAAAAAACTTAGGAAAAACCAAAACAAAATCTGATAAAGTATGTTTTCGTTGTTTAAATAGGAATATAAAAAAAATATTAAACATGAACTCTTTTTATTATATTTAAAAAAACTGGTGAGAAGCTTTGTTTATCAATCATTCAAAAGTTAGGTGTTACTTCTACCCACATCGTCAGCAATTTTTCTTTCGCTATCCCAGTGGAAGCCAGTTTTACGATTACAACATTGAAAAGTTGTTAATTTTTTTGGAAATTTAAAAAAATACAATTATGTAGCAGCAGCGAAATCTAATCTATGCCTTAAAAATTTCCAAGTAGAACGTTAATAATTAAACAATACTTTTTATTGATGCAAAAGAAAGATTTTAAATATTCAAATATATAGTACATCGTCTTTCATCTTGAAATGTCAATCAATTCAATTCTGATTTGTGTATTTTAGTTTAACATAAAAATGCAATCAACTTGAGCCTCGTAGCGATGGCAAATAACAAATATGTGAAAAATTTTACATAATTTGCCAAATATCTAATTGGAAAGCTCTGAATGTGCAAGAAAAACTGAGGAAACAGTTCAAGCAAATGAACGATTGTCTGTTAATATTTTATACATGAATCAAAATCTTTAATGTAACAGTAACTGAATTATAATAATAATAATAATAATAATACAATTTTTTTTCAAATTGAGTTTGTTGATGTGGCTATTCTAATAATGCCACCAGCACTACTACTACTACTACTACTACTACTACTACTACTACTACTACTACTACTACTACTACTACTACTACTACTACTACTACTACTACTACAATCAATAATAAAAATATTTCAAGTGACCAGAAATTATTATGGACGTTCCAAACAAGAGTATATGCTGCTATTTATATTTGTTCAATCGTCTATTCATTTATTCATTTATTTGTTCATTCCATTTATTCATTTATTTGTTCATTCATTCATCATCATTGTGCGCAAATCTTGTTACCCAATCAATCCATCTTCACATCAACTCAGATTGCACTTATTTGGTTCGCATGCATGCATGAACTCAAATATTATATATATATATATATTGTATATATATGTATGTGTGTGTGTGTGTGTGTGTGTGTGTACATTTTGTGTGCGAGCAACCGTGTGCTTACAAAAATGTCCAAATGCAATACGATATAAATATCTGAATATGTGCGTGTGCGTGCATGGTCATTTGGGCAGCGTGCAGGTGTACGTGTGCGTTTGAATGGAAACGTTAAAACCGTCTCAAGCTATTTGGAAAGGTTGGTTCGTTATTATTTCTGTCTATCATATTTTGTTTATGGTTTTGTGCATTTTTTATTATTTCAAACTGCAGAAGTATGAACGTGGGCGGGCAATAATGAAGCAACTACAACAATGAAAACCGGGAAATCAGAATGGCGAGGCCAGTTTTCAAATTTGAGGAAATTAACATCACCATCCATAAATCATCTTTAGTAAGAATGACACTCGGAGCTATGGAGACTGCATGTCGCCATACATTTTTCACAGAAACAACGACTATCGATAATGATGATTGTCTTGGAGGTAATAAAATCAAATTCTTGAAGAAAATTGCGCCACATAATATGAGAAGAAAATAATGGACCTCATAAAATTCTGAAGAGGATCACTAATGGCGTTCTACATCACATCGCACTAATGTCACATTTTGCTGCATGAATTTTTTTATCCTTCGCCCTTACACTAAATTACATTGCTCACATTTTAGGACAACTTAAGTTAATTTCAATATTTAATAGAATTTTTCATTTTTTTACGTTAAATACGCTACTTTAATTAGCTGGATACGTTTAAATGCATCACATCACAATCCATCACATCAATTCAAATCCCACGTCACTTCAACATATCACTATCCATCCATCTTGTCATTTCACTTTAAGCGCAATTACTTCTTTTGCATGACATCACATGTCTTATTACATAGATTCGCATCGTATTTTGTTGAATCCAATTATATGACTACGCGAGAACAAACCAGCGGAACAGACTCCCCCACATGAACACGTGCACACAACACGCCATGCATGCGTTCAATAATCATCTCACATAATTAAACACTCCGTTACAGTGGCCAATCTAGAGTGCCTCCGTAAAACTCTGTTTTGTGTCGAAAATTTAAACATCTTCAAAATTTAAACATCTTCAAAATTTAAACATCTTCAAAATTTAAACATCTTCAAAATTTAAACATCTTCAAAATTTAAACATCAGTTTTGGCCCTCCGTCAAAGTTGCTAGATCCGATACAGTTCACTTAATAATGGTATATATAACAGTACTTATACAAACACACACACACACACATACACACAAACACACATTTATACAAACAAAAGGCACAACAATACGTACGCGCTCACACGCACAAGCTAATGAACATACGCTCGCATACAAGCAGACAGGCATAAACATCAGCGCATCTAAACGTAAAACATCCATTCCCGCAAAGAGGAAGAACACGAGAGCTCACCAAATGACCAACCTGCGTGATAGAACTGTGTGGTGTTTGTGTCCGGGGTGAGGAGGATGATGATGTAGTCGAGGGGGAGTGAGCTGATGAGGTCCAGCAAGAAGAAGGTTTTGAGGTAGTGCTTGGCGATCAATCGTGGCTCCAGTATCACCTCGTCGGCGTAATTGTCGGCGATGATTCCTGCATGTTTGTTGTGCGTCGTTGTGTGTGGTAGTTGAGTGGTGTGTGGGTGTGTGGTTGCTGTGTGATTGTTGTGTGGTTGTTGTGTAATATGTGGGTGTGTGGTTGTTGTGTGATTGTTGTGTGGTTGTTGTGTAATATGTGGGTGTGTGGTTGTTGTGTGATTGTTGTGTGGTTGTTGTGTAATATGTGGGTGTGTGGTTGTTGTGTAGTTGTGTAATATGTGGGTGTGTGGTTGTTGTGTGGTTGTTGAGTGGTTGTTGTATGGTGTCGTCTTGTGTGGTGTCGTGTGATTGTTATTGTGTGAATGGTTGGTAGTGTTCAAACAGTTGTTGTGTGGTTGGTGCGTGTGGTTTGTTGATAGTATTCAAACTGTTGTTATGTGTGATTGTGTTGTAGTGTTCAAACAGTTTTGTGTGTTGTTGTTTGTTGTTGTGTGTTATTGTTCTGTAGCGTTCAAACAGTTGTTGTGTGGTTGTTAGGCTTATGTGCTTCATCTTATTGTCATGTATAAGATTTGTTGTTGTAGGCTAAAGGTCCATTTGTTTTAGCTGAAAATTCATACAACCTTTTAAATTAGACTTACCATTTATTGGAGTTAGAAACAAAATTAATAGCAAACCAGTACGGAAGTTGAAGAGTAGATCAGTTAGAAAGACTGTATCGGAGACGCTGTTGAAGACGATCCAGTGCGTTTTGAGGTCATCGCCGAAGAAGGAGATGATGACGGGCAGGATGATGAGATTGGCCAACAACAACGTCAACATGAAAAGGTCCCAGTAGAATCTGCATCCAACAATTAATTATTCAATTAGCATTCTCTAATTTCAAAAATTAAAAAGAGTCGTTTGAAGTGGCTGCAGATGGTTCATAAATGGAATGTAAAATTGGTTCGTATGGAAACATTTCAGAAATGAAATGCTCAGTTGATCGTCTGTCATGTATTGGTGGACAGTGTCATCGGTCACCCCACCATCATGGTCATCACCAAAAAATTCAAACAAGCGAAAGAATGAAGGAGCGAATAAATAATTAAATAATAATTATATAACAAATAGTTGTGATGAAAGAAAGAAACTAACGAATGAACAACCGAACGAACGAACGAACGAACGAACGAACGAATGAATGAATGAATGAATGAATGATCAACCTTACTGATTGACTGACTGAATAAACGAATGATTCATTGGGGTGACGAAACTTTAATGTGAGGAGTGAACGAGGAACCTGGGAGGATGAAAATGAACTGCAGAATGCGAATGACATAAAAAAAATAATAACAATAGTAATAATAACAACATAAATAAAAATACTAATAATAATGATAATTATAAATATAATAATAATAATGATGATGATGGTGTTTATAAAATGGCGATGATGATGTGGTGTAGATTAAGTAGTAATGGTTATAATCAACACGATTAAATATGCTAGCAACGTTGCATAGTAAGGAAGAAAATGCAGGAAATAAACAATTGCAACTTTAAAACCGAGATGAGAAATTTATAATATGACACAACCTACGCATGGATTAGTTGTTGATTAAACTTGGTATGTCAAGATACCATATTATGGAACTGTTATTTAACAAGCCTGTACATTCATCCTATGTTCGTGTTGAAAAATATATCAAAAATTAAACAAACATATTTAGCTATTTCCAATTAACATTTACATTCGTATCCTATCTTAAAAACAACATAAGATATCAACATGAGACACGAACATGAGGCATGCCTGTAGTCTCGAAGTGTTAACGAGTTTGATAAGCTCAGTTCTTTACAAGGCAAAGACACATGACATATAAGGACGGTATTGTTTTGTTTATTTTAATTTGTAAAAATGATATTTTTATNTTGTAAAAATAAGACAAATCCGATATTTTTTGCCAGAAAAAAATAAAAATTTGATACTGAACTAAAACATTAGATGTTTGAAAAAACAAAATCTGCAAACGGCATCAATAAAAAATTTTTATTTTCAACCATAAAAGTACCTTAAAGTAATAAATATTTGAAAAAACCCAGCGGAAAACATCTCCAACCATAAATTACGACAAATTATTTATTGAAACACACACACACACACACACCACACACACACACACACACCACACACACACACACACACACACACCACATACACACGCATAGTTTTATATACGAGATGAGTAGTGGTTTGGGCGACGTATAATAAATTGTCGGATTAAAAACATTCGTTCATTGAGGGATCTTTATGGCACCCACCCTTTGTTCGTCCAGTTTTTATTTCCTCTCTGGTTTTGTTGTATGTTAGGAAACCTGCATTTTTTTAGTTATTTCAGTTCTATTGAAAGTCCGAAGGTTATTTTAGACCTATCCAAATACGGAGACGTATTAATTAGAATGAGTGATGAGTTAAAATGAATAAAAATAAAATAGTTATAATATTGGCAGAAATATGATACGGAAACAATTTTTTGACTACAATAATGAAGTAATCAATAATAAACCCACAACAACAACAACAACAACAAAAACAATTAATATTAAGGTTACAACAACAACAACAATAATAATTATAACAATAGTGACATTAATTACAACAAATAGCTATATCGTTACCAGAAATAGCCTTGTTGTCACTATTCTTGCCAACACTAATAACATTAACTAATAATAATGGTTATAAAAAGCCAACAAAGAAAGTGATTTAGAGAAGCCATAAGTAAAAAAAGGGCATGGAAAGGAATGAATGAGGATTGCCATTGAATGCCTGCCTGCCATTCATACTCGCTCCTTCTATCTCAACATCCATTAACATCACCTTAACGTATGGATTCTCAACACTCCGATAACTCACAGTGCACATTCACTCCGTGATTAACGTAAATTATTCCACAGTAGCAAATCGTAAAATAATTACTAACTGTGGTTGAATTGTGCTGTGTTGCTTTGTAATTGTGAAATTTCATTGAGATTTCATGTTTTCAGTTTATTCGCATGTTTATCATGGAAACGAGATGAAAGTTGAATGCAAGAAGGCTTAAAAATTAAGCTTAATGCAAGTCATAAAATTAAGATTCATATATTTTAAAATAGATTATTATATACACAACTAAATAAATTAATGAAGAAATAAAGAACGAACAAAAGAACAAAAGAACAGATGAAATGAAGACAGAATGGACAACTAATGAATGGTAAATTAGAAACATATACCTGTACGACTGTACATGAAAGAAATCCGCGCGTACAGCACACTTTCATAAATCAAAGAAAATTTATTGAACGTGGATAAGCAGACTGCTTTCTTAATGTGATAAACTTACACAGAGCCTCTCCTTCTGCTGGTGAAATGCTTCTTTCATTTTGAGATGGATGGATGGATGGATGAGTGGATGGTGAATGAATGGATGGTTAGATGAAATGGATGTCTTTTGTTGTGCTTGTGAATGTTTTTATGTAATTTTTAGGTGTAGTCATGTAAAAAAAACTACCTGAATATGTGTCAATATTCAACAAAAAGATAGCAACACTGAGTTGATTTTAAGATGGATTGGAATGTAATGAAAGTTGCAGATTTCAAAGCCTTCTAACTAATTTTTAAAGAAATTGACAAAAAATTGTCAGAATAAGTGTATTTTAGTTTGTTGGAAAGAAAACAATTAGACACGAAAAATGATAAAAACTTGACCGCGATAAAAAAATTTTGTGGACCATGAACTATTTTATCAATCAAAAACTACATACGCATCAAAATTTTTCTTGAATTTTGCCAACAATCCTTGAATTTTTTTTTAAATTGATACCTGAAATGTTCTACACAGGTTTTTTTTATACAATTTTACTACATCTCAAAACTCTTTTGTGCAAACATCAAAATTTAGTTTAGAGAAATATATTGAAAAGTTAACGCTGGATTGAATGTCATTGTTCGATATGAAGGATGCAAACGTGAGAGATTCAATGGATCAGCGGTGAGTCACGGTCAGCAAGAGGAGGAAATGCAGAGGAACATGTTGTCCATTCATTGCATTCCATGTTGCAGCAGTCAGCTCTTTGTTGTTGTTTCTAAAAAAGATTTATATATTTTTTCTCGGTATACATGAGAAACTAGTTGGTTGTCAGAAATACAAAAATGTTTGATTGGAAGCTTTGAAACAAAGTTTATTCAACTGTTCATATAGATAGTCAGAATTTTTTTGGTTGTCCGACTAATCAACTAATAAGTTTCTAAACAACATCACATTTTTCAGCTCAATGAATGTTCAACTAATGCACTATATCAAATTCACACCAAACGAAACATATATTACGTCTATGTTTAAACATATGATTCTATAACGTTAGAGCCGGTTTAAAAAATCGTAATTTTTTATTTAAATGATTATTTGATTATTCGTCCATCTACTTTATGAAAAAGTCATTCAACCAACCAACCGACCGACCGACCGACCGACCGACCAACCAACCAACCAATCAACCAACCAATCAACCAACCAACCAACCAACTAATCAATCAACCATCTGGTTAATTATTCAACCAATTTAACAATCAGATAACTAACACAATCAATTGAGTCAGCTATCGTTCAAACGGCCAATCAATCAGCCTGCCAACAAATCTTCATCCATCTACATTTGCTTATGTTTATTCATTTTGTATTTTATTGAAAACTTTTCTTAAACGAAATAGCCTACAACAGATTCCTTATTGATAACAACGAAGTTAGTTAATAACTCATGCATCTGATGAATCTGTTAACCAACTGCCATTAAATTGAAGTGAGCAAGGTTTCCAGTTTATAACAAAACATCATTTAACAACATTTGACGACAAATAACAAATATAAAAATCGAGGCACGCACAAGCTGCAGAACATTTTTTTTTTCATACAATTGTATTTGCACAAAATTTTGCTCAAATATCCTTTGCGATAGCCCCTACACAATTATAAATGGAGAAGATAATGAACAAATTATCTTTAAAAGCAAAAATTCCGTTATAAAAATGTGAAAATGTCTTGATGCAAGGCTTGCAACGAAATATTTTGCTAAATTATAAAACGAGTCGCTCAAACACGACAATTGCAGTTGTGTTAGATGTGTGATGCGTGATGCGTTTTCATTCTCAGCTGTTGAATTGTAATTAATCAAAATCTTTCAAAATTCATTCAAAATAAGATATAAGAAAGAACTTTTGAGAATGTCAAGTTTGATGTATGCGAAGATATTAAATAAGAATTCACTTGGTGCCTGGAAGAATATAATCACAATTAATGAATCCATAGCTAGGCGTTACACCTGACTGACAGATGATTGCCTAGGTCTCTGAGACTATATTATAATGCTCTGAGTGCGCGAGTATGTTTGATACGTACTAATGTAGGTATATACGTACACACACACACACACACACACACACACACACACACACACACACACACACACACACATACATACGCACACATAATATGATTAAAATGCTCTGTGCAACAAAGCTGTCATACTTAATGATGTCAGCAGCTCTCACGATAGCAACAGAACAACTACTTGCAATTACAAGAACGGAAATGAAACTAACGAAAGCGCGAATATTTTTACTGTATACAAATAATTAGTCGACTAGAATTCAACAGCTATAATAAATTTGCATAAATTAATAAATTACTTTTCGATTTCATTAATGCAGCTTTTAAAGTTTATATAGTTGAAAATATTTGAGCAAAATTGAAACGCTGTGACTGAGAATTTAGCATATTTTTTTTGTTGCTGTAGAGTTAGTTTTGTAGAAACTAT